GATAAGCATGGCTAGATAATTCATCGGTGTGGCGTGATAGGCCTAGTATCTTTATCTGTATGATGACTCATGAGTGGCATCGGTCCTGGTTATTGACTTTATCCCAGCTGGCTGTAATTGGGCCGGGTGCAGTGCTTATTACTTTTGCTATCTTCTTGCCATCTGTCGTGCACACCTTCGTTCTGCTGGGAAGCTGAGGGACACTGTTCGGCGTCGGCGCTTTATTGCTTGGTTTGGTCGTAATCACGATATCTGGGGTATTGGCTCATATGTATGATCCGCCATGGTCATTGAACTTCCCAGCTGTTCCTGTTTTGGCCGAACGCTTGTGATATTAGCGAATTCGTCAGTTATTACTCTGTTTGCTGGACGCTCATTTGTCCCAGCTGCCGTCCAGTATCAGTAGTAGTACCCGACCGTCGGCGTCGCTGCTCGTCAGGTGAATGCCAGATATGGGCATTGGCGTGCCCCACTCTCGGCACGGAACATCTGCTCTTCTGGACGTACATATTTGCACCTCCGATTCCGCAGGGAGGGGTGATTGGAACTTTTGGTGAGCGTCCGTCGGCGGCTGATAACTTCGTCGGTGTGAGCGTAATTTTGATGGCTTGACGCCTTCTATTTGCGGCACTTGCGGCATGATACGGCCCGAGGGGTCCCTGCGTCAGCTGTTTCTTGTTTGACATGCTCACACCGGTGTCGATCCACTAGGTCGAGGCGGTGCCGGTGGCGATATCCCAGGCGCAGGTGCAGAGGGTTGGCGCACAGGATGCCGGCCGATTGCGCTTTGGAGAGATAAAGTTCCGTTATGAGCTTTTCCTGTAGATGCGGGCGGGGAGGCGGCAAAGTTTACACCTCTGCAGTGCCAGGTGTAGCCCGTTTTTTGACGTGGCCACCCAATTGGCGTGCGACCGATAAGAGGGGTCGGCGCTACGTCGGGTCCAGGTGGGGTAAGGCCATCTGCCGCCTGCGCCCTGTTGACCCGCGTTATCCATGAAGGTGTCGGGAATTGAAGCGCCGTTCTTCTCAGATGATTTCACTTTTGCGTGTTTGGCTTTTAGTCTCACACCAATATGCATGCCTTATGATTCTGTCAATTCCTGTAAGCTGTGATTCGAAAAAAAATGTGGCTTCCGTCACAACTACATCAGGGAGTTACAGCAAGCTTGTCTCCCCGTCCCCCGTAACCCTAAACTTGTCACTGGCAACCCTATTCTCTTTTCTTCTTGCTTTCAGACTCACTTTCCCGGCCACTTCAGGGATGGTGACCTGCGTCCCCATATTCGGCCATCAACGACTCAGCACCCTCCTCCTTTTTCAGACCCACCTGCCCGGCTACACAAAGGAGGCTCGTCTGTCTCTCTTACGACCCCGGTATTGTTACTAACACCCTCCTCCTTTTTCAGACCCACCTGCCCGGCTACATCAAGGAGGCCGACACCTTGAAGGCGACTGGCGTGGATGAGATTGTCTGCATGGCCGTCAACGACCCGTTCGTCACCGCCGGCTGGGCCAAGGCGCAGGGAGCGGAGGGCAAGGTGAGACGTCCAAGGCTCAGGGAGTAGAGGGCAAGGTGAGACGGCCAAGGCGCAGGGAGCCGAGGGCAAGGTCAGAGCCGGAGGCGCAGGGGGCAGAGGGAAAGGTAAGACGACCGGATGAGCCAAGGTGCAGGGCGCCAAATGCATGGGAAAACGATTCGCTGGAGGAACGGGCTTGGGGCTTTTTCTGAGAATGCTTTGGGATATGTTCAGGGATGCAGAGAGCAGAACAGTGGGGTGGAGATGGTCTGTTAATTATATGGCTGGGCACTGCGGGATAAATGCACACCTTTTACAGAAATGCAGACTTGATGCCCGCGTATCTGGCGTAAAATCGCCAACAGGTACGGATAAAATGACAAGTCAGTAACGATCAACTAGCCATCGGTGCTGTTATTTTTGCACTGTCACCGACCCTCTTGATGCGTGAATTGCAAATATGTAACAAATTATTCGTAGCGTGAGCAATAATTCTAAAGCAATAAACACACCATCCCTGGAGTACGCTACCGTTTTGGCCAGTCGCTGGCTCCTGTTCACCGACGCCAGCGCCGCCTGTATGTTTGTCCGTCTGTCTCTCCGTCCCCGTGAGCCTGTGTATTCCCGTCCTGCTAGATGGCGCCACTCGGCGGGGAGCCCCTGTAACTGACGCGGGCGCGAGAGGGCACTACCAGCTGGCTGGTATGCTCTGACTAGCCTCTCTTCTTCCACTGCCCTGAGCATCCACTGCCCAGTTCTGCCTGATACTGCATTGGATGCGAGCCTGTTTGGCGATAGTTAGATAAGCAAGCGAACGTGTCAGAAGATTAAAGACGAATCTGGTACGAGGACGTGGTATGCACGAGTACGACTTTTGTCCGCCGTCGACACCCCACTTCTGCTCACGTCGCAGCGTCAATCGGCTGAGACTGATCTGTGGCGACTTGACCAAACCCCTTGGTGCTCTCTAGTGTCGTGACACGGCCCCGTAGTATTATGACTCGTTCCAATGACCCCTTTCTTGAGGATTTTAACGACACCCCGTCTCTCCCCAGGTTCGTATCCTGTCCGACGTGAAGCGTGAGCTGACCTCTGCGATGGGCATGGATTTCGACCTGTCCGACATCCTGGGCACGGTGCGCTGCAAGCGCTTCTCCATGGTGCTGCAGGACGGCGTGGTCGAGTCGCTCGACGTCGAGCCCGACGGCAAGGGCCTCTCCTGCTCCCTCGCCGACGTACTCGCCAAGAAGCTGGCCAAAAAGTGAGCGCGGCGCTGGCGGCGGCGGCGGCGGCGGACCGGCCAGTACGGGCGCGCTGAGGGTGAGAGGGGTGGGAGAGCTTTGAGACGGAGGGGTGCGAAGGGAGAGCTGGGCGCGCTGAGGGCTGCGCGGGGTGAGAAGGGGAGCTGGGATGTCGGGCCGTGGCAGTGAGAGCGTAGGGCATTCGGAGAGCTGAATGTTGTAAATGTTTCTCAGAAACGTGACGTGACTTTTGTCGGATCGTTGAGAATTAACTTGTTTAGAGTCTGGTTACGAGGTGTTAACCGGCGAATCATGGCTGTTCACTATATTAAGCTTGTAACAAAACCTCTCCAGAATATATTGTTTAGAATGTCTATTGTCCAAGCACCAGATAGGTGTGTCTTTGTTTATTATACGAAGCACAATCGTGAGCACTGCACGGTGACAATAAATATTTGGTTATGAATGACCAGCTTTTTGCGTCGCAAACAGATCAGATCAGATTTTTTCTCGGGGCGTTGGCTTTGCAACGCCACCCCATCCGTATTATCTTCGTCTGATATTTTATCGATTCTTGTGATCTCCCTCTTTGGCGTTCATTTGTTATTTCTACATCTCCATAATTGAAGTTGTTCTTCTTTTTCTCCATTGACTGGTGACACATTAATTGGTGACAAACATATGACTACAGTTATAAAAAGTTCTTGGCTACTTCTCGAAAGCGAGCTCCCCCCCCCCCCCCCAAAAAAAAACAATATTGGGTCAAAAAGTGAGACGTTCTCTAACTGACCGATACTCACTAAGTTAGTACAGACACAAGGAGCCCCACGACTGTGGTACTCCAACACCAGACATACAATTTACGGTCACTTCATGGTGACGATTTTAGCGAATTGTTTTTGATTGGGCTTTTATCGTTGTTTTTTGCAGAGGGGCTACATATTAGTGTATTATGCGCCCGAGTGCAGTCATTCAAATCAAAACGATACCGTAGGTGGCTCATAAATGGTCTGAAATACATAGAGCGACATACCGTAAACGGTACTAAAATTTGTCCATGCAGCACAATTTTCACCGGTTCTTTATTTTTAATCGATGCCATTTGCCAACGTTGCTTAATGTTTCGGTTGTGGGTTTTTCCGGAACCGGTTCTTTGTTTTCATCGTTCAGAGTGCACCTGGAGTTTTCCCAATGCCTTCTCGTTAAAAACAAACCGCTCGTCCATTGTAACTAATGGGCATCGTGGAGCTGTCTTTGTTCTGCTGACGCTCTGCAAATACTGAACATCTCTACTGTCGAAATTGAAAACATCTCAAGCTTCTGATGAGGATGCAATGCAACTGCAGCTGCCTACGAACAACCAGTTGCCTGGTGTTTGGTTGCAAAATAGCGATTGATGCTTTTCAGCGTTATGCATTACACTTCATCTGTCAAAACTCTTCAATTTGTCATCGACCTTAGCACACGCCTACTGAAGCCAAGTGAATCCGAAGCCCTGTCGCTGACATTCATTTCGCAAACATGCGCCGATCGCTTTGTTTGTGTCGGCTTCCTCTCCGACAATTAATTGGTGAGATGTCTGTCGGTTCGCGCGGCGATTCCTTCTTTGAAGTCGGGAGCGTGAAAACACGCGAACCGATTGGGAGCCGGCGGCTGTGACATTCCCGGCGCGGGCCGACTGTCGCTGTTTGTGTGTGTGTGTGTGTGTGCGTCTGACCTTCTAATTGGGATCGGTGACAATGGACGGACGTTGTTAGCGCCGGCCGGCAGTGAGCCTCAGTGGCTAGCGGCTGGGTGTGAACTGGCGGAGGACGCGGTCACGGCGGGAGGAGACGGTCGAGCCGGAAACCCCGGGGGTATAACTTCTGGTGAGCCTGTGACTACCGTGAGAGAGAATGCGGGATGCGGGCCGGGCCTACAAGATGTTGGCATGTCAGACAGAATAAGATGGCGATGTTTTGGGGAGCACGTAGTAGAGGATGCAGCTAAGGAATCTCAAGTTCAAGGAGGACACAATCCCTCGAAAAAAAAAATCATTTGAAGATGAGAGAGCTGACAGCAGAAGCTGACATGGAGCTGACATGGGCGGGACAAGTGTGATTGGCTTGAATAAATAATTGTTAGTCTTCCCAAGTACAATGCTGTGGTACTTTCCATGATTGGCGTCAATGTGATACTTGATTTTAAGATAAAAACTGACTCTTCCTTGGGCTAGTTCAATGTAGCTCCTGACGTTCGCTCGATGTGCATTCTTTGTTCGTTCGCTAATATGTAATTTAACTTACATTTTTGCACTTAACTGTTGGTTTTGCCTCTGTGGACTGCAGATGATTGACACCGCAGCTCCAGGTCGTGCGTCCCTCCCCCCCCCCTGACTCAGCGGCGCTCCCGTCGGCCCGACGCACAGTCGCACAGTCGCGTGCCGCCGGCGACCGTCGCGTGCTACACTCGGGTGGGGACAGCCGCGCCGACTTACCCAGCCGGTGCCAGAGTTTTAATTATACCCGTCGGTGGCAGGTGTTTGACAAAACGCAACCGAATTTATAACGGTGTAATTAGGTAACTGGGTGAATGAGTGTAGCACTGGCCTAATTTCTAACTTAGGAGAAATAGGGTTGTGTTATCGGCAAGTGCATATGGTGGAAATGTCCTTTATGAAGTTGCTGGCAAATTTTCCGGCAATGATGCTCAAACATAAGTGGCTATTTTTGGACACTTTCACGCGCTATCTTGTAGGCCTACTCTTTTAACCCTCGCCCGCACATGGGGGGGGGGGGGTTGCCACCCCCCCAGGCAGTCTGAAAGAAAAGTACACCTGGGTAATTTGAATTTGATTATTATACACCGCCATTACACCGAAATCAAGAATATTTATACCCTTGTTCGACGTATATGGAGAATAAAATAATGCTCCGGTGCGAATGTACTCTATCACGAGCGTATTCTTGGGGGTTAATTCAATCCAGTTTAACACTCATGGTGCGATTCTAACTTTTGAGATATTTACCCCTCTAATTGATGGATGGTAAAATTACTACTATAGTGTATTTTCTTCAAGTGGGATAAGAATACCCATCTGATAGCATAAATTTGCACTCTGATTTGTCAGCTGATAATTCAACCCTCATCATGGTGTAAATATACATCCTTGGTAAAGTGTGTTTCGATGAGGATGGTGTTATTTTATGACAAGGATTTAAAATACCCTAAACATGATAGTTCTGCACCCATATGCTCATTATTTTACGATAGCGTCCACGTGCGGCTCGCGAGCCTTCCGTTTCCGCCATTTTCATTTTTGTGTCTGCTCCGGACCGGAGCCACGGAGAATTCTGGCGCTTGCAAGTGATCTTCTGGCGGTTGAAACAGTGAGATAGGTGCGATTGTGCTGGTGCGTTCGATGTGGTGATGACTGACTAGTGCTGGACCCATTTCCGAATAACTTTGAGGGTAAGTTGACTTGATAATGTTTCGATGTAGCAGTTGATGAAATTGATTTGCTGCTGTCTGTATGAACGTCACTCACCTAGCTGTTTGTGTCAATACGTGGCATTCTGATTAGTGATTCCAGAAGCTCAAATTGACCCTCTCAGTTTGTTCTCAAGGGCAAATTGAGAAATCAGTTAAGTAGGTACCTACTGAGGTTGTTAACTGTAACTTCATCAAATGTTCAATGTGTCGATTGATCAATATATGTTTAGGTAAGCTTAGTAATTTTATTTCTCTACGTTTTACAAAAGTACTAGAATCTTGGCCTGAAAAAGTTGCTAATTTATTTTGTGTATTACTTTCAGGTTTGGGGTGACCTGGCTCTAGTCGTGGGTCACGCCGGCGAAAATGGCATTAGGACAAAGTCACCTCAATGACGCGACAGGCGTGCTACACCGCACAACTCCTGCCTCCGGAGGGCGCCACACCCGTTGAAGGTGAGTTTTAAACTACCATTAATGATGACTGACGACAATTGTCCGTCTGTCCGTCTGTCCGTCTGTCCGTCTGTCCGTCTGTCCGTCCGTCTGTCCGTCCGTCCGTCCGTCCGTCCGTCCGTCCGTCTCGCCTATCTCATCCATGGGCTCCGCCACCGGGGGGAGGGGGAGGGACGGGGGACGTGTCCCCCCCCCCAATATTTTACATTTGTCTGTTTCGTCTGTCTCGTCTGTCGGTCCGTCCTTCCGTGACATACAATATCGTTCTGTACTTAAATGTTACAGTGCTTACTAGTTATATCTTTCAGTTTTCACGGACAGACATACAATTAACAATATCGTTCTTTGCCTTATGATTACAGTGCTTAACCCGCGCACCGACGGGGGAGGCCCCCCCCCCCCCCTCAGGTTTTGTCAGATAGCATAAAAAAGGCGGCGCATAGCGCCGCCAGATTTGGCGCGACTGTTGATACATCCATTTCGCACACCCTCTGGAAATTTTTAGTTCATATCTTAAAAAAGTCAGGCCACCAGGCCACGTTAAGTGACCTCACCTCGAAACACAATCTTCGAAGTTTGCTATCTCGTTGTTGAAAGCAGATCTTGAAACTCACAGAAATAATTTTGGTGATGAGCACCTACAACTCGTATATCTCAGAATTGCATATTGATGACCTACGAAATACGAATAGGTCATTTTTTACCTGCCCATTATAAGTCAATGGAATAAATTTCAAGACTCTAATTTCAAGTCATTCTTATTTCCATCAGATTCCTTTTTTATACGACTTTTTATCTCTTCTGTTCATGAGCTACGGAGTCGTTTGTTGAATGTTGTCGGTCTTTTTACGGTTACTCGCATAATTTGACCTTCGATGACCTCTGATGACGTCATTTTGAACCCTAGCGAAAAATGACCGAAGTACTTTTTTCATAGACCGTCTTACGAGCTTTCGAATGTCGTTTGCCGCTTCTCGCGAAGTTACTTAGTTCTTGAGATCTTTGGGGGGCGGTCATCCACCCTCTCGTCGCTTCTAAGTTGGCTCAGAACCCCTTCGGTGCGCGGGTTAAAAGATTCATCTGCATGTCAAATTTTAAGGATCGACATTCAAAATTGCTATTTTCTTAAAGATTACAGTGCTAAATATTTCTTTACATCCTCCAATTTACATGGATGGGCGGATGGACGGACGGATGGACGGCCTGACATACAAAGTCGTTCTTAACTTAAAGATTGCAGTGGTTAATAGTTCTTTTTATCTTTCAATCTTGGTAGATGACGACCTGGCGGCCACCTTGGTGATCGGTGGCGGCACGACGATTTCGGAGCTGCAGGATGGGCGCAACTCTGTGTCCGTTCACCCAGAAACCCAGTGCCTGGTCAGCGATGTGAAATATCGTCTCCCAAACAATGAGATGAAGATGCTGGCTGCCTTCGCTGCGGCGCACGCTGTGCTATATTTGCCTTTTAGAGGGCCCAGCATGATCCTTTTTGAGGTCATATATGCACGGGTTATGAAGTTCGCGATTCCTCTCAGTG